ACCTCGAGAGTGTTTAAAACACGCCACCCCTGATGGTGTCGTCAGGGGCGTGTCGTCAGGGGCGTTGGTCTCCTCTCCCTCAGATGTCAGATAAAAAATGACAGCGGCCAACACAGCAGTAGCCGTCCGGTGTGAACGAATCAAAATTATTCCTATTTTTTTTTGCCAGCTTAACAAAAAAAATATGTATTTTTTGGGTGTGCGCAGAATTTCAGTGAATTCGTCTATGAGTGCCGTGAGATGAAAAGGGTTGGGCATCGCCGGCCTGTATTGTTATGGTCTCCATCTTATCTGTGACAAGGAAGTCGGGCACAGAGGGACAACGTAACTTGCAAAGGTCACAAGGCTGGTGCCAGAGTTCAGATCGGACTTCAGTGCAGCCCGGTGAGGGGCCCTGGGGAAGGGCCTGGGGCAGAGGAAGGTGGACGGCAAAGCTGGGACTCCCAGTGCCAGCAGCGGCCAGAGGGGCGGGGGGTGGGGGGGGATCCCCGTCCGAGCCCCGGATCCCTACCAGGGGGAACTCGGGGAGGTGGTTTGTGGGAGGAGGGCCGTCGTAGGGATGCTGCATCCCTGGCCGGGACGGTGGGTGACAGAGAGGCAGCCGTGGAGACCGGCCTGACCAGCCGCCTTTGCAGAGGAGGCTGGGTGCATGCGACAGCTGGATTAGGTGTACCCGGTGCACTCAGGGGCCGAGGGGTGGGGGCGCACAGGGGGCCCTTCCGGTGCCTCCCAGCCCCGGGAGCTCAGTGCCTGCTAATCCCCATCCCCATGGCAGCAGGAGGTGACAGGGCCATCACCAAGGCTCCGGAATCTCCCGCCTCAGTGTGGCCCGCGGCCAAGGAGCTTCTCCGAGCGATCCGAGAACCCCGTCTCCGGGGAAGTCGGATGGGCAGAGTCCCTGAGCCTGCAGTGAGCAGCGCCCCTCCCGCTGTACTCTCGACTCCCTCCCTCTCGTGTCTCCGGAGCCCCTGCACTCGGGCCTCTTGATTTCACTGGGTCGGCTGGCCCCTCTGTCCGCTTCCTGCCTCCCTTGGTGAAGGGGCCGAAGCAGCTCTCAAAGGCACATTCAAAATAACAGAACAGCAAGACAACCGTTGGAGTAACTTGGGCCGGAGGGCTGCAGGGGCAGCGACCGGAGGCGTACGGAACGCTAGGGTTCCTTCGTGGCCTCCTTTGAGAACGCTGCTTCTGCCACCATTCTAGTCTGTCTGATAGTTTAAAGCTCAACATGACATTTTGGGCTTATTATTTTTTTTTTCCATGTTATATAAGCAGTTGTGTACCTATCGGCAGAGGAGACAGGTGCCTGGTTCCCTGGCCGGAAGCCTGCTGAGCCGCAGGGAACCCAGGAGCATGCTCCGAGCCACCTCTAGGGCAGAGTGCGACGCAGGGGGGTTTTGGGGGCAGGACTCACGAGGGTGTCTCAGGGAGCCTGGGTGGGGCACAGGCTCCTGCCCGGAGAAGCCTGGAGGTGGGGGGGGGGGTGGCAGAGCAGGGCGAGGGCAGGGGTACCAGTGAGTGGGGCATCGCCCAGGTTTCTGTGGTTTAGTGGACACTGTGAAGCCAGTATCCCTGGTGCACCCCTCTCCTAGTGGGGCTCGGGGGTCCCCGCAGTAGGAGGCTGGGAGGGATGGGCCACGGGGCCAGGAGCTGAGATGCTGGGGAGGGGTCGGCCGCAGAGTGCATGTGCTTCAGGCTGAAGGGGTCGCGTGGGGTCCTTCGGGGGGCAGACTGTGACCTCGCTTGTGTGCGGGAGGTTTGTCAGGCTGGGGCCCAGGGTCGACGCCTGCGGGAGGGAGGCAGCAGGGCTGCACAGAGGCGAGGCGAGCTGCGGTGCGGGCCTGACAGCCTCGACCGATCCACGGGGCTCAGCTGGAGTTCAAGGTGCCTTTCGGACCCCGGCCCGTGTGGTTCGGTTGGGCGTCGCCTGCCAAGTGAAAGGTTACAGGTTTGGTTCCAGGTTGGGGCATGTGCCTGGGGTGTGGGTCCCCGGCTGGGGTGTGTATGAGAGGCCGCCGATCAATGTTTCTTTCACGTCGATGTCTCTCTCCCTCCCTTCCCCTTGATTTAAAAATAAATAAGATCTTAAAAAAAAAGAAAGAGCCAGTCTGTGTGGCTGAAGTGGCCGGGCCCTCACCCGGGCCTCTCTCGGTCACTGGGGGGCCACGGGGAGGGCGTGACTGGGACCAGGCCGCTCTCTGCAGCTGCCCCAGGGGCTGACGGCGCCCCCAGCAGTGGGGCAGCAGGGCAGCAGGCTTTCTGGGGCTGCGGTCTGGGCGGTACAACCTCGTGTCCACCACAGGAAGGCCCGGGGCGGAGGGCTCTGTGTAGGTCAGTGGGGGCTGGTCTCCAAAGAGCCCCCTCCGATGGCCCATGTTAGGGCCAGTCACGGAGGTCTGACGGACAGTGCTGGCCGGCGGAGCCCGACGGGCAGGAGGACCACCCGCACCTTCCCCCTCCTCCCATCATCGTCCCTGCCCCAGCCCCGGAGGGCGAGGGCGGAGTCCGCAGTGGCGGGTGGGAGATGCTTTGAGAACGACATTTGACTGGAGACGGGACTGGACTTTCTGATTCCCGAAAGAGAGTGGTGACTCTAAGAGTGGAATTTACCCTGACTGACGACTGTGAGTGACCGGCAACCACGGTTGCCGTGGACGTGGGGGTTCGCAGGGCGACGGGAGGGGCAGTCTGACAGTCGATCGGAGGCAGTGACGGGAGGAGGACAAAGTCGGATCCCGTGGGCACTCCCGGTTCAGCTTGTCCCTCGTCCCTCACTGGGGGCTGTGCAGGCTGCCGCGTCCTGGGTGCCGCAGAGGCCGAGAGCCCGCGTGACGACCCAGTTCCCTGCCTCTGTCTGAGTGACGGGAGCTCTGACTGGAGGGGTATGAGGCTCTACATAGCCGCCGAGTCCTTTCGGCCAGACAGACAATGGTGAGAGATGCACGCATTTTTGTTAATGCCTCAATTATCCCAGTCTCAACGGGGACAGAAAAGTGTGTTTGGCCTGCTCCCGGGGACAGGCTGTCAGGGTCCCGGCTGTCCTCCGCTGGAAGGAGCCGTGCGCTCAGGGGCTGGGGTGCGGCCCTGGCCGCGGCTGAGGTCCATGTGCCCCCAGAGGGCCCGGGGTGCGAGGCCCCAAAAGGGAGCCCTGAGGGTCCCCCAGAGGCAGGGCACGCCCAACCGGGGTCATTTCCCTGCAGCTGCTGGTGGCTCCAGGCGGTGCTTGGCCCCATCACTCCAGTCTCCGCCCACGCGGTCACCCGGCCTTGCCGTCCTCCGTCACAGCAGGCAGACCTGCTGCGGCCTCCGTGGTACGGGGACGAGAGTGATCTCATTCAGGATCCACCCAGGTCATCCAGGGTCATCTCCCCGTTTCCAGGTCCTTCAACTCCGTCACCTCTGCAAGACCCTGTGTGCATACAGGATGGTGCGTGCAGTGCCCGGGGTCAGGGTCTGAGGTCCTTGGGGGCTGTCACCCCTCACTGTGCTGTTTGCACTGGGCCGCACAGACTGTGTTGTTCTGCACTCTGCCCTTGTCCACGCCGCCCCCTCTGCCGGACACCCCCCCACCCATCGCCCCTCGCCCCTCACGTTTGCCTCCTGACCCTTCCTGTCATCTTACAAGCTCAGAGGTCACCTCCCCTAGGAAGTGCCCCTTGGTCCCCTCATCACCACCTTCTGTCTCACACTCACACACACACACACACACACGCACACACACCCTTGTTCCGTGAGAGTGCTGGCGGACTCAAAATGGGGTTCTTTGACCTTCTCTCACCATCAGCCTCTGCGATGTGGGGGGCAGTTACCGGGTTTTAGGCTGTATTTGAGTGTTAATAAAATTTTGAGGGAGGAGGGAGGGGAGACTCTCGAGGAATAGATTCTTGAGTCATTTGGCTTTTTAATTTAATTAAATTTCTGGATCTACAGTCGTCTGGCTATATGGGTGTAGGGAGGATGGGTGATGGGGTCCTACATAATGTCTTCTGGTTAAAACCACAGGGAACATGAGTTGTTGATGATGATGATGATGATGATGATGATGATGATGATGATGATGATGATGGCAGCAGCAGCAGCAGCAAGGTGGGCATGCATCTGCATTCACACTGTGCTCCCAGCCAGGGCCCCACAGGGAGCCCGGAGGGAGCAGGCTGAGCACCTGTATAGCAGAGCGCCCCCTGCAGGATGCGCACCTGTATAGCAGAGCGCCCCCTGCAGGCGGGAGTAGCTGAGGTGCAGGCTGATGCAGAGCTGGGGTCCCCACCAGAGTCCCCGCCCCTCTCCACCCCACTGCAGGCTGGGAGAAAAGGGCAGCCAGGGGGAGCCCCGGCAAAGGCACAGGGAGAAGGGCCCGTTGCCTTTCCAGGGCACCCGGTCAGCCCTTTGTCCCGCCCTGAGCAAGCCCCTCTCCCACGACGGTCACTTGTACGTGAGGTGAGGATGGCTGTAGGCCCCCAGGGTGCCAGAGCCCCATCCCACGCCGCCGCCTCTTGGTCCTGAGGGGGACGTTGAGGCCGAGCTGGAGAAGGGGAGTGTGGGGCCTGCAGCCTGGGTGCGGAGTCCGTGCTCAGCCGGGGCCGGACAGCAGGGGCCCTGCCCGCCAGGCCCCTGGGACTCCACGCTGCCCCTCGGCTGACCTTTCCTTCGGTTCCGGGGGATTACGCAAATCCAGGGGGCTCAGCTGCCACGGGGCACTATGGAAACAGCCTTGCGCTTTCTCTTCCCCTCCCTGCAGCCACGAGGCTGACTTTCTGGCAAGACCGGTTTTGCTAAATTGCAGAGCATGTGCACAGTTTAATTTGAGCCTGGGTGGGCGAGGGGAGGGGCCAGAGTAATTGCCAGAACCAATTTCCAAGCCGAGTCAGGTGTCTGCCCCCCAAGGAGCCGGCCACCAGCAGGGCGGCGGGGGCTGGCGTGTCACGGGATTCGTGGGCGTCAAATGCCTATTAAAATGTTATGCAGCAGACAACGTACGTGGTGCCTCATGGCAGCTTCCATACGCTTTTCTAAGCCAGCTCTTTATTTCTACTTTTGTTGTATTTTAAGTGGTTAATTAATCAGGCTAAGCCACAGCAAGGTACACAGCACCCTCTCCTAAAGGTGGAGAAGGCAAAAGTTACATCTTTTTTCTGCCCGTTTCCCAGCTGTGCATGTCCGCTCCCTGCAGAAAGGACGCTGCTGTGTCGGGGACTGTCTCTCCAGACACGCGATGCGTGTGCATCAACATGCACGTACACATATCCCGTCCTTTTCCACGCAGACTAGTGACTGTGCCGTGCACGCCACCCTCCCCACCTGTTTTTCCTCAGCAGTGCACCCTGGCCGGGTCTGGGCTAACACCCATTACACGGATGGAACCTCATTTCTTTAACCAGCTCCCCGTTGACGGACGTTTAGGTTCCAGTCTTTTACCAGAACTCTCAGTGCGGCGGCGCATACACGCCTTTGCACACTCGCTACACACGTTGAAGAACATCTGAGCCACAGTGTCCGACGTGGGAGCCACCAGCCACATGCTGCTATGTACGTCCAAATTAATTCGAATGCAGTGGAATCAAAGTGCCCGCCACTAAGCTTCTCTGTTAGACCCTTAGACCTGCTCCCCCAGCCGCGCCCCCTTTTCCACGCGGGCCCTGACCGATGATGCACTGCGCAGCTGCTCCTCGGCCTCTGTCTGCGCAGACACAGGCTGCCCACGTGAGACCGCAGAGCAGTTCTCAAGAGCACCGTGACTTCTGCATCGTGCTCACATGTCGTTTCATGGGGAAACCGTGTAATTCCCTTCGGCAATGGTTCTAGTGCAGGAAGCCCCCCGTTGGGTTTTTCAGTCAGTGGTCACGCGTTACCCTTCGTAGGTCCTGCTGAGGGTGGAAGAGAAGGCAGGAGGGAGACAGTGTCCTTCCACGGTTCACATCCAAGTCTGGAAGCAAAAAGCTCACGAATCACTGCAGATAGTAGACATATTCTTTTATTTCTTCAGAGAGGGCAGTGTTCACTGGCGGGAGTCCGGGCCCCAGCTACCCCCCCCCGCCCCCCTGTGTCCAAGAGGGGATGGCCTTGCTTCTGGGGACGCCGGTGTCCAGTCAAAAGTCCGACAAAGGCCACCACGTAAGGAGGCACAGCTGTCCCTTTCTGCCTGAAGGACCTCCGACAAGCCACCCTCTGGAGAGAGCTCCGACGGTGTGCTTTCGACGCGGTCCGGAGGTGGGGGCTTCCTCCTGTCACAGCCTCCGGGCCTTCCTGGGGCGGCAGCCGTTGTGCGGGATGGGGGTGTTGTCCGTGATGGAGATCACTTCCAGGCCCCCCATGGTCAGCCCCTTGATGGCAGCCTGGCAGGAGCAGAGGAACGGCAGAACGGCTTGGCCCCAGACACGATGACCCGGCACCTCCAGACAGGGCTCGGGGAGGTGGCAGGGGGTGGGGTAGGGGCAGGGAGGAGAGCGGAGAGGCTCCCTGGCTGGGACACCTATGACCTCAACTCTGTCTGCTCGCAGAGCTTCCCAACCAGACCTCCAACCCAGGGTGTGATGGGTGCCGTCCGCTTCAGTCGCACCTGCCGCACCCACCGGAGCCCTGCCGTCTCAGTGCAGAGGCTGCCGGGGCACCCGACCCTCCTCGGGCAGTGCACTGGTGCAGCTCCACCTGAGGCGTTTCCTCTGCTTGGACCTTCTCCCCTCACCCGGGCAACACCATGTTGTTCTTGACCAGTCAGGAGCAGTGTCACCTCCGTGGGGAGGCTTCCCGGTCGTGCCCAACGGCCTCCCAGCACCCGGGCACCAGCTTCACCCCTGCACCCACCAGTCTGTGCCGAGGGGCCCATTGTTGACAGTCCCCAGGGGCCACCTCTCCATTCCCAGGGCCCGGCACACAGCGGGCCCTCGGTGGAAGTCTGAGGGATCACACTTAGTGACCCGGGCTTGCTCTGAAAAGCCTGGCAGATCGTAAGGATGACAGAAAGGAACTCCAAGCCCTCGTGGAGATCCCCTACGAGGTCCTTCCCCACGTCCCCCAGCTGCTCTCACGCCCCGTTTCCCAGACTACAGAAGCAGGCACACACCCCGAGGAGAACCACGGTCACTCACCAGCCGCCCTGGCCCCAGGCCTTTCACCACCACGCGGACGTGGGTCACGCCCTTCCCCGTCGCTTTCTGGAGGAGAGAAACAGGCGGTCAGTGCCCCAGCGAGAACTGCTGCGGCCCCATCTCCTGGGTTTGCAACAGGGTTCTGGGCTCCGGGGAAGGGGCACCCGCGCGGGAGCACAGGCAGAAGACGGGGAAGGGAGCACAGGACTCCGGTCGCAGATTGACCGTCAGCGGTGAGCCGTTTTCACCCGGGGCCGCGCTGCCACCTAGTGGCAGTCTCCGAATACTGCTCGGGCTCTTCTCCGGGCCAGTAAAGGCAGAATCTCAGACCTTGGGGAGGAGCCTTGGACTGCAAGGCCGAGCTTTTACACCCACTCAGAAAGTGTTATCTTATCATTTTAATCGTTAGTGATGGTTTTAAGTGTTCCTTCTGGATCTAAAGAGGTTGTGATGGAAAGTCTGGGAAGGACACAGATGTCACCCCCCTGCCCTGCAGAAGCCACTGTCCACGCCGACACCTTCCTCGTATAATCTGTCGATTGCTGGACTGTCGGCAACCAATAGCTTTGGGCACTGGGGTGTTTTCTTTCTGAAGGTCAAGGTTTTCCTTGGGAAATACCTCTGTTCAGGAACTAAAATGACTGTGTGGCCCTGAGCAGGTCGTACACCCGTATCTGAACTGCTCTTAGAAACACGGCCGGTGCCAAGGGCATCTGAAGATCAAGATAGCGAATGGGAAGCGTCTGGCGTGGAGATGCCGAATAAACACACCACTAGCGGCCCACTGCCGGTCTCCTTCTAGAAAGGTCGGCAACGGCTCACACTCAGACTGGTTTCCACGGCAGCGCAGCTTCTCTTAGAGCCTGTAGTCCCCGCCGCCTGGCCCAGCCCCAGCCCCAGCCCCGCCGCCCCGGTCTTTGCGCCGCGAGGAGCCTTCAGCACCGGCGCCTCCGCCTCCGCCTTCCGCCTTCCGGGGTGAGCCGGCCGTGTGACTTCCACGGGAGCTCACAGGAAGGGACAGAGAAACCCTCTCACGCGGACCCCTTCACACCCCCCTCAGTGCTCGGGCGTCACGCAAGAGCTGGCGTGTCCCCCGCTGCTTCCGAGCGGCTGGTCCCGGGAGAACCCTCGCCCAGGGGTCAGGCGCGCAGCGCGGGAGCGCACCGCGGAGGGCGCGGAGGGGACGCGCACTTACCGCCGCGGCCGCAATGCCGGCCGTCTGCGCCGCGAGGCCCGTGCCCTTTTTGGCGTTCCTGAAGCCCTCCGTGCCGCAGGAGGTGCGGGCGAGGGGCTGGTTGGCGGCAGAGACGACCTGGATCTGTGTGCTGGGAGGGCGGGCGGGGAGGAGACCGGCTGTGCGTTAGAGTCCGGGGAGAGCGCGGACCTGCGCCCTCACGAGCCCGGGTGGGAAGGGAAACGCTGCCGCTGCCGCTGTGAGCTGGCCAGCGACATGGTCTCTGAGCTCCCACCGGGGGCGCCAGGAAGGGTCCGGTCATCCCCTCCGCCTCCCGGAACACGGACAGGTCACGTGATCTGGAGAGAGCGCTGCTCTGGCCTGAATGTTTGTGTCTGCCCCCCAGATTCAGGTTGAAATCCTAGCCCCAAGCATGACGGCCTCTGGGAGGCGGCGCCTCCGGGAGGCGGTTAGGTCATGAGGGTGGAGCCCCCACAACGGGGTTAGTGCCCTTATAACAGGTACTCTGGAAAGTTCCTTCTGCCACCCCCCCCACCACCACGTGAGAACACAATGAGAAGCCAGCCACCTGCAGCCCTGACGAGGCTCCTCGCCCGAACGCGCCACGCTGGCACCCGGCCCTGCACTTCCGGCCCCCAACACTGCGGGAAGGGGAGTCTGTTGTTGGCGGCAGTTTGAGGTCCCTGGTAGTGGCGGCCGGGGAGACTACGGCAAGCCCCGCCCTCTGCGGGCGGTGGGCTCTACCCTACAGTCTTTCCCGGAGCCGGCGTTCAGGCTGGGGGTGCTGCCCTCACCCGGCACGCCCCCTAAACTCAGATGTTCTATATCAGGTCATTAAAAATAAAAAATAAAAAATAAGGCTTCTCATTGGGAAAGTTGCAAATAGACACAACACTGAATAGAATAGCGTAGGAACTCCCAGGGACCCATGGCCTTCCGCCAACGACCACCGGCTCCTACCCAACCGAGCTGCATCTGTAAACGGTTTCCACTCCCCCCATGAAACCATGATCGCACAGAAAAAAGTTAGCAACGTTACCATATTGCATAATTTTAATGCTCATGACACTGTTTTACGATCAAAGTTTTTTTAAAATAAGAAAACACCTTTACTAATCACCTGTAACTTTGAAAACTGAGGATGACTTGAGAAATCCTTAAACACGCTTCCCACTCCCCCCTCAGTCGTCATCACCCGCCTTCTGGTCTGAGGAGCCCCCGAGAGCTCGCAGGGGAGAGGACGAGGAGGGGCGGTGACGGGGTCGGTCAGCCCTGGCCAGCGCTGCCATGTCCCCCCCGGGGCCTCTTGGGTTTCCTACTGAGACAGCCCAAACCGGGAGCTACAGAGTAGGTCCCCGCCGCCCACGATGCTGAGTGAACCCCGACATCTCACTGTGCCCCACCCTCAGTCCGTGACCACCAACAGTCTCTCGTGTTGTTCTCTGCACGGCTACGTGGGCAGATCGTGACCAACCGCTGACCCGTCTCCGGGGGCGCTGGCCTGCAGGTCGTCACTCATGTCAGCAAGGCTCCCGCGGCCGACACGAGGTGGGAATGGCCTTGACACCGTTTGCAGGAGAGCAGACCTCACCAGCACCATATGCCCAGCCCAGCTCACGTTCTCGTGAAATCCAACGAACGTTACAGGGACGAGAGCGGGTTTCCCCAGACCGGAGGGAGCCCGGCGGGCGTGTGCATCGGTGGCACCGAGCAGACTGCGGCACCCTGGCCTCCACCCACGCAGGTGCCCAGGCCACCCTGCCCTCCCTGTGAAGGGGAAAGGAGCCCACACAGACTGCCCAGGGCCCACCCTCCCCACTTACTTGTTGTACGACGCCTTGATGTGCGCGATCGGGATCTCCTCAAACGTCCTCCCTGCCCACCTCAGGGAGCTCTCCTGTCCTGGGACCGGGGGGTAAATGCTGCAATGAGAAGAAACAGTCTATGCAAAACTGTCCTGTCTGTTAGAATCAAAGAGGTCCACAGTGCAGACAAATGCAGCAGCGCCCCCCACCGCCCGCCCGCAACCCGCTCCAGAGGCAGCTGCCCCCACCACCCCCTCCAGTCCCAGCGCCGCCAACCCATCCGTGAGTGCTACGCAGGCGGCTGTCCCCGGAGCTGCTGACGCAGACAGAGGGAGTGAGTGACTTTCTGCTGGAAGGAAAGGGTCACGACCACACTCCCACCCGGCTTGTCCCTTCCAGTGTGAGCGGATCAGGGTTCGCAGGCCTCTGCACTAGAGAGTCCGCCGGACCCGCTTTCTGTCACTGAAAATATACAGGTAAACCTCTTTCTCTCTCACCATCTGTAAATGACATCTTGACTGTGTATAAAAAAAGAACAAAATTTTAATGATACGCATAATATCGTCACTATAAACAAAACCCAGTGTCCCCTGGAATAGAGGTCGGTAGACTCTTCCGGAAAAGGGCCAGAGAGTGGACACCACAGGCTTTGCTGGCCCCGAGGTTTCTGTGGCAGTCCTGGCTCACGGCGCGGAAATGGCGCTGGTGCCGACAACGGTGACTCGGCAGGTGTGGCTGCCCAGGAGAACCTGGCTGCCCTGGCCTCGGGGTGTGGTTTGTCGGTCCCCATCCCAGATCCACCGCTCCCTCGGAACAGCAGACTCGTCGGACGGGGCGATGGGCAAGCCCCACCCCCAACTTCTGGACGGGCCTGGGAACCTTATTTCTAAAATGCCCCAGGGCATTTGCCCCACGTGTTTCCTGGCTCCCCCAGGTCGCTGCTCCCCACTCTCAGGTGGAGACGCTGAGGCACGGGGAGTGGGGGACGGGGGAGCCGGGAAGCCAGGCCGTGGGCCCAGGGGACCTGCCTCTGCTCGGAGCTCTGTGTCTCCTGGCGTGCTTTCTTTTATTTGGACGCACTCGGCGGTCACTAAGCCCCCGAGGTGCCCGTGAGCCCACCGTTGCACCCTGCCTCCGTGTGCAAGTCAGATCTAGGCGTGTGCTCCACGGCCACCTGCAATGCACAGATTTAGGTCTAGAAAATTCGCTATCATCTGAGAACAGCCCTCCCTCTTTTCCCAGAAATATCGAAAACAAAACAACACATCAGTATTCAACAGCTACAAGTGTATTCTTTCCTGCTAGGCCTGATCTTAAGAGACGATTTAGCATCTGAGCAGGTTCCTAGCTTACCAGGCTACCCGCCAGGAGGAAAAGTGGGCAAGGCTCCGAGATGACATGAATGTTTAAAACATCACTGCTTTCCAATTGAAAATTGCCCCCACTGACCTGGGGGGCAGGGCATTAAAAAAAAATCAAGCCACCTAAAGTCAGAATGCACCAGTGTAATTAATGCCCTACATACAATGCAAGGTTTCTGAACTAGGAAGGACTCGGAACTTGAAACGTTTAATTGAAGGCATGGACCAGATCAGGCCTTTACACCTGCCAGGACCACTGTACAAATGGACAAATGGCCCGTCCCACAGAAGCCCAGGAAAGGGGAAGACAGAGCTTTCCAGACTGGGACCACTGCCTCTCCGTGCCCAAACCCCTCCTCAGAGCAGGGAAATGGAGAGAGGGGCCGGTGGGGCACACGTGGCTTTGTGTCTGCCCAGCCGAGGGGGTCTGGGAGGGGTCTGGGAGGGGTCTGACTTCTGCTGCGTACACTTCAGGTGTGAGAATCTGCTGGTCCCCAGGCACCCGCAGCCCAGATAGGCCCTGACACAAGCGTGGCAGAAGTTGGGACCTCGGCTGGGGATGCTGCAGCTCTGCTCCCAGAAAGAGAAGGCCCTGCTCCATGGTCCTCAACAGACAATTTCTAGAAATGAAGATGCATGCAGGAAAATGCAAAGACCACAGCTCACGGCCCACGGCTCCTGCATAATTACATGCAGGAGTGCAGGGAGAGCCTTCCAGTTCCGGCCCTTGGCTGCTGTTGCCTGACTTCCTTCTCTGCGATGACCCTCCGTCCTCTCTCCTCCCCTGGCTACTTACTCTCGTGGTAACGAGCCCTGACCATACCTGCAACCTCACCCTAACCGCCCTCCCCGGCATCGCACGCTGGCCACCACCTCCCAGCCCCTCCCACTGGCTTCCTGCACGGGGCACCCCTCCAGCCCACAGATCCCACCAGCTTCTCCCCTGTGCTCACACCCCTGATGCTTTCAGCTCTGCCCTGACCTCCAGTCAGCTTCGTGGCTGGTCACTATCATCACTCCCTTACACACGCCCTCCATCCCCTGCCCCAACGCAACTTCACTCTTGCTCCTGGCAAACCCTTAGCCCTGGTGACAGCCGTGTCTCCAGCCACTCTGAGCCTGTGTGTGCACCTGCACAGCTGGCTGGGAAGAAGTGCACAGCAATGCTGGCCGGCCTCCCTGTATTGTGGCTTCTCAGCCTCAGCGCCACTGATGCACCGGGTCGAATGAGTCACTGCTGTGGGGGGCTGTCCTCACACGCTGGGTGTTGAGCAGCAACCCCGGCCTCTGCCCACTACCTAGTGTGTCCTGCACTGTGACAACCAGAAATGTCTTCAGGTGTTGCTCAGAGTCCCCGTGGAGGCAGAACCACCCCAGGCTGAGAACCACCGGTTGTTGTTGTTGTTGTTGTTGTGTTTAATGAATCCTAACGCCACGCAGGCCTTCAGCACCGCCTGGCAATCCTGCGGCACGTCCCCGGTTCCATTGCCCCTCCGTTCTCCTGGATGACCAGTTTGTCCTTTCCTTTGCCTCCTCAAACCTCCAGCTCCTTCCTGCTCCCGCCCTGACGGCGGATGACCTTCACGGAGACATGGGAGCAATCAGAATTTTGTCCGGCTCCCCCTGTCAAACACCTGTGCCCACAAACTCTGCGTGTTCTCCTGCTGACGGTGCCCCACTTAAGTGCGAGCCTCTCAAGGACGTCTCTCCAGCGACGTTCCCGCCCCGGCACCACCGTTCTCTCCCCTCTCTCTGCTGCGTCGTTCCCATCGGCAAAACACGCTGTCATCTCCCCAGCCGAAAAACAAACAAAAACCTCTCGCCCTTGAAGCCTCCATGAGCTACTGCCATCTCTCTGTGACCCTGACGGCAGAGCCCCTCAGAGAACGGACTGCACCTGCTGTGTCTTCCTGTCTTTTATCCTCAAACCCACTCCACTCGGACACCAGCCCCTGTCGCTCCACCAAAGATGCTCAAGTCAGGGTCACCGACCGACCGACTCACGATGTTCGGTGCAGGGAGCAATTCGTCATCAGCCCATCGACCTGTCCTTGCAGCAGCATTTGACACAACTCATCTTTGCCCTTCAACCTCATTTAAAAAAACACACACACACAAAACGTGCCCTGGCTGGCATAGCTCAGTGGATTGAACTCGGGCTGCGAACCAAAGTGTTGCAGGTTCGATTCCCAGTCAAGGTGCATGCCTGGGTTGCAGGCCATGACCCCCAGAAACCGCACATTGATGTTTCTCTCTCTCACTCTCTTTCTCCCTCCCTTCCCTCTCTAAAAATAAATAAATAAAATCTTTAAAAAAAAGCTTCTAAAAAACAACAACAACAAACGCTCCATTTCTCCCCACCTCTTCTTTCTCTCTTGCTGGTCATTCCTCATCTGCCAAATCTCTGAATGTCAGAGGGCTCCAGGATTCGGTGTTGGACTTCTCCTCGTTACCTGCACTGACTCTCTCGACGGCCTTACAGTCTCACCATCATCCATGCTGATGGTCCCCATGTGCATGTCTGGCCCCGATCTGTCCCCTGACCTCCACTTCTAACAGCCAGCATTGTATCCCCACCTGGATGTTAATTAAGCATCTCCAACCTAACCACCCAATTCCAAGCTCCTGCAGTCTTCTCCAGCTTAACAACAACTCCATCTTTCTAGCTGTCCAGGCCAAAATTTTAGTGTTCTTCACTCCTCCCCTTTCTCACACCTTACATTAACCAATCATGTGGGTTCCACTTACCAAATGTATCAGTCCGATCGTTCATGCTACCCCCACAGCTGCCATTCTGGCCCAAGCCATCATCATCTCTGGCCTAGATTATTTAAGTAGTCTTCTAACTGCTCAGCAGACTCCTTGCTTTCTCACAGTTCAATATCAACACCACAGCCAAGGAGATTTTCTGACAATGGAAGCACAATTGTGTCAACCCTCTCCAGGGGCTTCCCATGTCACTCAGGGTGAGTGCTGAGGTCCCTGCCAATCCTCGGGTACCCTGTGTGCCTGCCACACCCCCGGCCCCTTCGCCTCCTGTCTGGACTCCTCACTCCATGTTGGCATTCTTGCCATTGCTGACAAACACCACACACCCTCCTACCATGTGTCCCACTCCCATGTTTTACCTGATTTGCATTTGCTGTCCCCCGTCCACTAGAATTTAAATTCTACGGGGGCAGGTGTTTTTGTGTGTGTGCTCACCAGCGTGTCCCCAACACCTTGAACTAGCGCCTGGCAATGCTGAACGACCGGAACAGAATCTTTAGAAGCTCCCCCACTAAGCTCTGGCCACAGACAAGACCGAGGGCATTCTGATTCCTTCTGGTCTGGCTGACCTCATCTGCTGTCACACACACACCTGAACGCACCACGTTCTTTCACAGCACCTGCCTTTACACAGCCTGTTAGCTGTGCCTAAAGCCACCCCTTTCACCTTGTCCAGCTGAAGTCCCACTCAATTCAGTTGTCAGGTCCACATTTCCTTCTCTCCAGTCTTACTGGATTCACTCTTTCGTACTTCCAAGCAACCAGTGCTTGCCGCCAGTACACTACTGGTCGGAAAACGGGGAAGATGTTTGCATGTTTGTCTTCCCTACTGTGGGGAGGAACACCCTTTTGTATCTGTGCTGGCACTGCTGGTGCTTGGCACATAGTAGATGCTCAATAAGTGTCCGTTAAGTGGATGTGAAATACACTTAGCTCGTCGAAGTGGTGGCAGTGGTGAGAAGCAAGATGCCAACCCCAAGGGCTGAGCACAAAAACCTCCCTAGACCTTAGACCAACTCTAAAAAGCGTGCAATAATCTACACCATCGTGTAGCACCTCCTCCCCCTTCCCATTCTGTGTGTTAGTCTGAGGCGGTCTCCCTCTCAGAGGGGAAGAGAGCTGATATTTACTATACAACCTTGACATCCAATCATTCACGCATGCAAGGTTCGCTGAGCACCCGCTTTGTGCCAAGGCTCAGCTCCTTTGATTCTCACAACCTCTCTCGGCGTTATGCCCGTTTTTAGTCGAGAAAACGGAGGCTTAGGGGGTTCTCATAATGTCGCACAGATTGTAAGTGACAGAGTTGGGAATTCACTGGTTCTCACAGTGTGGGGTGCGGGGTGCTGGTGTCCCGAGGGCTGGCCCGAAATGGCCCTCACCTGAAGCTGCTGCGGCTCGGGGCCGGGGCCGGAGCCGGAGCCGCCGTCTTCTCAACTTCCTGCTTGGCCGCCGCGTCTTGCAGCTGCTGGGCGCCCCTGTGAATGGTGGCGGCCGGCGCCCGGGCCACGACCCTGCGGGGAAGGGAAACTCGCTGAGGTCCCAAGCCTAACAGCTACTGGCGTCCAGGTGGCTCGTGGGACAAGGGCGGGAGCGTACTCCCGGACCTGGCCCTGGGCTCAGAGAGGGTAATCATTCTTACCTGCTTGTCGATGGCCATACCCAAGACCGCAAGATCCGAGACCCCGCGTTTCTTGCAGCCTGCATGACTTGAATTGACCCCAATGAGCTCCCGTCCGCGGCGCCGGCACCACGACCGCCTGTGGGGGGAAGTACAGAGGGAAAGTAATCTGGTTACTCTTCAGAGGGTGCGTTAAAGATTCTTATCCCGATTTATATGCGCTATAATAACCATCGCTACTATTTTCAACTGGGAGTTTTCTTCTTTTCCCCTGGCCTTCTAACATGGGTCTTCGCCCACCCCTCCACATTGGAATGGTTCCTTCTGGCCTTTCGGGGACTTGGCTGTCCCCTGTGTTCTGCCCCCGCGCTGCCTTGTGGGAACCTAGGATTGGCTCCGGGCCGCTGCGCCGCGGTGCATTGTGGGAGGGCAGAGATGGCGGCGCCGGGAAGGCGTGCACTCTTAGCGGTGGCGAAGGGCTGGCGGCGTTTCGAGGGCTTCTGGGGCAATCGTCTGGGTTCTCGCAGCCTGACTCTTGCGGCCGCACCGTCGAACAGCAGTTCGCCATGGCGCCTGTTGGGTGCCTTGTGCCTGCAGCGGCCACCTGTGATCTCGAAGCCGCTAACCCCTTTGCAGGAAGAGATGGCGGCTCTACTACAACAGGTAGATTTGAGGTGCGAGTGGCGGCCTCTGGATGCCGTTAGGGAACCAATAGAGACACGTGGGCTTGGGTTCGATCCCGACTGTGGCACCAATTAGTCTGTGTGACCTTAGACAAGTTACTTCACCTCCCAGAACTTCCATACCCTTCCCTGCAAAATGGTACCTGCCTTTCTGGGTTAGTTTGGTACATGGTAGCCTTTCAGTAAAAGATAGTTTGTTTTCAGTGACCTTTATTGTCACCTTAGGCAACTCTCTGGAGACACTTTTTTCATTCGACACTCGTGGGAAGCGGTGGTGAACAAGACGGAATCAGTCTGTATCATAGGTAGTTGGTAGTTTGGAGAGGAGGGAGTCTTCGTGATGAGTGTTAACAGGCAGTGGCGCTTCTGTAAGATGCCTGTGGTCAAGTCAGCCCCGTTTTGCCTCTCAGGACTGTTAATGTGAGAGGCAGGTGAGGAAGTATGGGCTAAAAGTCGGGTGTGGTAACTGTGACGGTTTCAAGTCCCCAGAGATAGTAGTGACTAAAGAATGGTGTGTTTCTGTATACTCTAAAGGGAGAGCTATAAACTTCAAGTCATGCTTTTTACTTGGTGCACTAATTTTTTCTGCAAAGTATTTCATTAATCACTTTACAGGTAATCATTGAGCACTTACTTTGTACGACAGACATGTTGTGGAAAATCCACCCACATGCGGGGAGAGAACGAAGCACAAACTTTATTACACGAGTGCGGGGCTCAAGGGAGTCAATTCCCAAATCCTGAGCCAAAAAGGCTGGGTTAGGGGTCCCTTTTATATACTAGTTACATAGGCAGAAAGGGAGGGGGACCAGCTGCTGAAAGCAAGCATTCAGAAGCAGGGGCAAGGTTAGTGACCTTGAGATATCATTACCTAGCAACTTCTGCTAGTCAGCTCCTTACCTAAAAATAACTTTTACTCAGCTTTTATTCCGACAAAACTTGCAAGTGTTACAGAGAGCAGTTTCTTTTCCTGCCACAAACATTGTGCTAAAACGCCAGGGATGCAGTCCTGGCTGGTGTGGCTTATTTGGTTGGGCATCGTCCCCAAAACCAAAAGGTCGAGGGTTCGATTCTTGCTCAGGACACATCCCTGGGTTGCAGGCTCAGTCCCTGGTTGGGGCACGTGTGGGAGGCAGCAGATTGGTGTTGCTCTGTCAGCATTGATGTTTTTCCTCCCTCTCATCCTCCCTCCCTTCCCTTCTCTCCAAAAGTAAGTAGAAATGTCTTTAAAAATAAGTAAAATGCTAGGGATGCAGTGGGAATAAGATAGACATAACTGTGGTTCTCCGAGTGTTTCAGGCAAGTGGAGGAGGGCCTGTCAATAACCAAATAATCACATGACTAATTGCGGAGTCTGGTAAGTGTTGTAAAGGAAAAGGCAGTACTGTAAGAGAATTTAACAGGGGCATCTAATTTTGATTTTATGAGAGGTGTCAGGAGTACCTCTCAAAGAAAGTGATATTGAAATTGGGATCTGAAGGAGGAGCAGGGAATCTCCCGGGAGGGGAGATTAGGAAGAAGGAACGGCATCTGTCAACTCCCCGAGGCAGGAAAGCCCATGGTGAGTGAGATTCTGATCGGACCCTGACAGGACTGGAGCTCGGTCAGTGGGCGGGCAGTGAGTGCCCGTCCCGGGTCTCTGTCCCCAGCTTCTTGACGTCCGGTCACATCCTGACTTTTTTTTTTTTTTTTAGCAGCTGTGACTGAAGCCCAAAGTGCAGGTGACCTTTTTCTTTCTCTGTATTTTCCTGTGGTGTTTTGATGGTGTGTCTGCTTACGTTGGGCGATAAGCTGCTGAGTCTGTCAAGTGCACTGAGTCTCTGCTAAAGCACGCTTTTATTCTGCGTGTTTTCTTGTCTTTTCTGTGTCCAGATCGAGGTAGAGAGAAGCCTGTATTCGGACCACGAGCTCCGCGCTCTGGACGAGGCCCAGCGCCTGGCCAAGAAGAAAGCGGACATCTACGATGAAGATGACGAAAAGAGTATATTGCTGGTGCAGGACCTGGAAGACATGTGGGAGCAGAAGTTCCTGCAGTTCAAACCTGGGGCTCGAGTAACAGGTCCGTGGTCTTTTTAGGCCGGTAGGAGGAAGGGGAAAGGGGAGCATGCTGGTTCCCAGACAAAGGACAGTCGCCTAGCTCTGCTTTGTGTTTTAAGTGACAAACCATTGCAAATGAGGAAACTTCTTTCAGGTGAGAGGAAAATAAATTTTTTTCTCTGTTCCTCACATCTCTCTCTAATACAACTATTTAAGGCCTGTGTTATTTTTGAATAGGAAGTAAGGATTTTGGGAGAGCCTTTTCTCTCTCGTTTAAACTTTATGAATGTTTTCTGAGTTTTTCTCCTACTTTGGACTGAGGGGGGGAAATAAGGCCTTTTCCCACTAGTTCTCTGTGATTTAGCCTAAAGCTGTCCTCAGCCAGGGCGGGGTTCTCTTATCCTTGTCTCACAGAAGAATATTGAAGAGAAGGTGGGGCTACTTAAGTCAGTAACAGTGTCAAAACCAATGAAGTAACAGGATTTGAATTAGTATGGGTATTGCTCCTTTTCCAGAAGCTCCAAGTACTTTACGGTTTGCTCTTCGGAGGAGAAGTTCAGCTTTTGGTTTCCTTTTTTTATATTTAGTTTCCTCAAGATTGTGAGACTCTTCCTTCAAAAGGTTCAGGGAAATGGGTTGGGGTTGTAATTTGATTATAGTAGCTCCCCCCTCCCCCATCCACAGGGAACACATGGAAAGACCCCTGTGGTTGCCTGAAACCATGGATGGTACCAAACTCTGTATACTATGTTTTTTCCTATACATATACACTTACGGTCAAGTTTAATTTATAAGTGAGGCCCTTTAAGAGATTACCAATAGCTAATAATAAAGGAGAACAATTATGGCAATAAACAGTAATGAAAGTTAGGTGAATGTGGCCTATCTCGAAATACTGTACTGTACTTACCGTTTCACTTATAGGACGCACTTTATGGCCTATCTTTCGCATATCTGAGTCTCTGGCATCACTGCCCTTAAGCTCTGGGGCCAGGACTAAGTCAAAAAGGGTGATGGGAACACACACACACACACACACTGGGATACTGTGAGAGGTGGTCTGGTAACAGAGGCGGCCGAGTGACCGGGGCCCGGAGCACACACAGCGAGGAGACACTGGGCAAAGCGGCGATGCGTCCCCCGGTGGGATGGAGCAGGGGGGTGCGCAGTTTAACACGTTCGAATACTTTATTTCTGGAATTTCCCATGTGTGCTTTGGCTGTGGGTAAAAGGGAACCACGGGCTGGCGGGGGGCGGGAGTCTGCTGTGTAAGTGTGTTTGAGGGCGAGGATTGCGGGTCCGCCTTGAAGGAAGGATGTGAAGCGCTCATCTCCTCGGCCTGGCGGATCACAGTTGCCTTGTCTCCTCCGCCCCCCTGTCTCTGCAGACGCCGACGAGAAGAATGACCGAACCTCACTGCACCGGAAGCTGGACAGGAACCTTGTTCTGTTGGTCAGAGAGAAGCTGGGAGACGAGGACGTCTGGATGCTGCCCCAGGCAGAGTGGCAGCCCGGGGAGACCCTCCGAGGGACGGCCGAGCGAACCCTGGCCGCGCTCCCAGGTGAGTTCTCGGCCCCCCTCTGAACCCCACGAGACTTGCTTCCTCCCCGGCCCCGGAATGTGCAGGCTGACTGCCAGGACGGGTTCAGAGGTGAGGGTTTCCCTTAGATCAAGTGAGAATCCGCCTTTGTCCCACTGCGACTTTCACGCCCGGCGCACTGGCTCCCGAACAACGTGGGTTTGGCCTGCCCCTCGGGGCCATGCGCATGCAGCGTTTCTTCAGTGAGTGCATACAGTGCTGTGAGCGCATTTCTTAGGGTTTTCTCGGTACTTTTTCTCTCCTTGCTTTAGTGTGAGAATACGGTGTATGATACCCACACACGTGAAATATGTGTTACCTGACCGTCTGTGTTAATGGTGAGGCTCCTGGTCAGCAGTAGGCTATTACCAGTTAGGTTCTGGAGGAGTCAGAAGTTATGCACAGATTTGCGACTGCGTGGGTGGCCGGCGCCCCTGACCCCCACCTTGTTCAAGGGTCAGCTGCACATTGTGAGTTGAGGTTGCTGCCATTCTCTCAGCCTGCTGCTTCTGTTATCCTTGCTTACTGGCACTGCCTCTCGCCCACTCACCCAGCTAGAAGCCTCAGCGTTATCCTTGAGCTCATTGCGGCGTCCGTAAATTCCTGAGTCCCACCTGGTCTGCTCTAAGTACTGCACTCTTCTTTACTCCCACAGCTTTGGCCATGAGCCCTTTACTTCTGGCTAGACTGGGGTTTCTCAGCCTTGGCACTATTGATATTTGGGGCCAAGGAATTTTTTGTGGGCACTGTTCTGTGCATTACAGGCTGTTCAGCAGCATCTCTGGCCAATATCCACCAGATGCCAGTGGCACTAACCCATTATTACTGCTCTCTTGTGACAACTAAAATATTTAGATATTGCTAAATAATACCCGGGGAGCGAATCACAGGGGTCGAGAACCACCACACTGGCTGTTGAAGTGGGTACCAAGTAAGCACCCCTTTTCTGTGTCTTGGCCTTGAGTGCTGCTAGAAATGAGCTGCTCGGCCACAGGTCCCTGGCCACTGCTCTAGAGTTCTTACAGGGTTTCCCACAGAAGTTCAGACTTTCAAGCATGGCCTGCAGGTCTTCTGTGCTCTGACCCCCAGCTCACCCGTCTCCCGTCCCATTAATGTGTAGTCTAGGTTCTGGCCTAGCAAACCTCTTGCATTCCTTGAATAACGTGGTCTTTCCTGCGTCTCTGCTTTGACGCATGCTGGCTTCTGATTGGATGCCTTTACTCCTCCCTGGTCTGACCACTCGGTTTGTAAGACTTGGCTCGTTTGTCGTGCCTTCTGTGGTGGGAGCTTCTCCGGGCCTCTGGGTGGAGAGCGCGGGCCTCCCCGCAGGCGCCCACCGCGCCTGCGTTGCCCGTACTCAGAGCGTGCAGCCAGCGCACACTCTGCCTTCCCCTTGCTGGACGCTGTCTGGGCGGCGGAGTCACGGCGCTGGGCAGGACGGGACCCCCGCTCCCTGGGAGCGTATGTTGTAGTGCAGAGTGCACTCTTTCTCTCACCCCATTGCCCTGTGCTCGTTTATTAACACGCTTCCCTCCCCAGCCGTAAGTCGGACTCCCTCCAAGGTACGTGCAGCGTCTGTCCCCCGTCACCCCAGCTCTCAGCAGAGCGCCTGGCACGGAGGGGGCACTTGCTGAGCGTTCACTGAGAAGATGGGTTTGCAGTATAAGTGCCACCGGCTTAAGTGCCTGCTGACGACTTGTCAGCAGCCGGTGGGTGCCCCCTGGACCCTCTCCCTGGAGGGGCCGGGGTGCCTGCAGAGGAGGTGGCGGGGCAGAGCGGAATGGGTGGGGCCTGTGCCGTCTCTCGGTGTTCTCAGCCACCCCAAGGGAGGGGATGGCGGGGGGGCTCACGGGATGGTGGTGCTCAGACGCTCAGCCCGCCTCACGTCAGACCTGACGGACGCCCGCGCAGCTCTGCCTCCTCCGTGCCACATGGGAAGGGGATCCTCCTCGGCACCACACCGCTCTGGGCACCGCACCGCTGGTTCCCCTCCCCGCTGCAGCCAGTGGCTCTGCAGGGAGACGTGTTTGTTAAATGTTGACACTTAAGTGCATATGAAATAAAATGTGTTGACTTATTAGAAATTTATTAAAATGGCAAAGAAAAGCTTAAGCAATATAAAGGTGTATTTATGAAAACAGTCAAAGCCCGTTCTATCCCTCCCTCTGGCACCACACTCTCCGTGCGTTTCCGCACGTTGGAGCTCCCAGGGGTGGGGTTCACGGCTAAGGAGAGACTCGCTGGCGTTGCTGGCAGGTGCTGCCTCGCGGTCCTGCACGACGGCGCACCTGCCACTGGGCGTTTTCAGGGGTGGTGGGAAGGAGCGCCTGTGCACCCAGACCCCCTACGTAAGGCACTCTCCTTTGAGTTTTGCCCGTGCAGTCAGGGAAAACGATTGATTTGGGATTCGCATCTTCTCATTGCCAGTGAGTGGACCGTCTTTTTGTGTTTATTGGCTGTTTGTATTTCTTTATCCGTGAACTGCCTGTTCAGGTTCTTTGCTCACGTCTGTGATGAAGGGTTTCTTTTTTTCTTGATTTGATTATATTTTTTAACCCATTTTTTCCAAGATTGTAGAAAAGTAGTATGTGTCCACTGAATCAAGTGGAAATTTCAGCAAGGCATAAAGACAACACGCCAGTGTGATCCCACCACTCACAGATACCTGCTGTCGGTATTTTATGTTGTATCTAGTGGTGTTTTTTAATAGCGAGGAAGTCAATTGTATAAAGTGAGAGAATTATTACACAGTGTCTAGTGAGTATATTCTGGGATAAGAAGTAATTTTCCCTTCTCAGAGGCAACCACCATTAACAGTATTTGGTGTGTGCTTTTAGAAATGGGAAGCACATACTCATTTTATGTTTCCTTTTCCCCCACAGTCAGAGCTTATTGCTACATGCTACAGAGTTACATACCCTTTTCCCCTCATATAGACAGCCTTCTGTGTCAGTACGTGAAGACATGGCTCGCACTTTTTAACACCAGTGCGCTGTCTCATAGCGTGTACGTACCGCCTTTTGTTTAGCCCGACTGTGGCCTTAACAAGGGAAGCTGCAGCGAACGCCCTTGTCCACTCACCTTCGCGCCCGTGGCCGCACGGCTGCGTCTGGGACGGGGAGGGCCTGGGAGCAGGGTTGGGAGACGCGTGGGGACGTGGGAGTGGAGTCGGCAGCTGGCTCTGGCCAGGCAGAGCGGCTGTGCGGGTCACGCCCGTCGGAGGGGACCATGTCCCCCTCGGCCGGGACATGCGGCCTGCAGCGCGGCGTGCGGACTTCAGTCACGCGTGGTCGCCTCACTGCGTGTTTCCTCAGTGGTAATGCCGAACCCCATCACGTTGTAATGGGCTTGTAAGTCATTGGTACTGACTTCCACGGGAACTTCCCGTTCGTGTGCTTGGTTCATTTTTCTTTTAGACGTGTTGTTTTTTCTCATTGATTTCTAAATATTTTTTATACCTTAAGGGGTTTCTCTGTCGAATGTGTTGAAATACGTTTTCTAGTTTGTCATTTTTGTCTTTGACTTTTTTATGCTTTTTTTTCCCTTGAAGGAAGCTTTCATTTTTATGTAAATAAATATCTTTTCTTTCTTTTTTTAAAAAGTTTTGTGTTTTGGTTAGGCCTTCCTCTCTCAAAAATGATACAGAAAGTACTCTTATGGTCTCTTTCTCCTTAATGAAAAATTTAAAAATACGGAAAAACTCAGAAAATATTAAACATCCATAAAACTGCCATCCAAAATGAACAAACATTCAATAAAAATTTTAAGTTTCTGTTGTTAGTCTTTGATCTGATGGTATTAATTTTGATATGAGGGCTGAGATCAGCTTTTTTTTTTTCTTTTTAATTTAGCTAACCAGCTCTCCAAATGCCAGTTAGAAATTCACCTGTCATTTCCTCATCCTTTGGCCTGCTGGGCTGGGGTTATTAACCCTGTGTTGCACATTGCAGAAATCACCTGTTGGCGTCCCTTTGTCTTTTAACTTCGGTTACGATGTGTTCACTCTACAGAAGTCAGGTCCGGTCCTTTTCATGTTTCCGTGAACCACTCCCTTTGAAAGGCTGGTGGATTCTGCTTTGTAGATACCAGGAGTCTCGGTCCTTCACCAGCAGATGGTGGCGGGGCCCTGTCTGGGAGTTCAGTGCCCTGGCCCCCGGTCCTGACCTTTGAACTGCATTGCTGACTTCATTGGATGGCGGTGGCTCGGTGCATGGAGGGACCCGGTGAACCCCGGCTCTTCAGGAGTGACCCCGTCTCCCTCCGGGGCCTGCTTTTACCTTGGCCCGAAATCCCTCTCGGAGGTTTTGGGAGCCAGAACAACCAGGTGAGTGTGTCCTCACCTTCCAACTCTGTTTCCCCCCTCTCTCAGAAAACAACATGGAAGCCAAGTTCCTGGGAAATGCACCCTGTGGCCACTACAAGTTCAAGTTCCCCCAGGCCGTACGGACAGAAAGTAGCCTTGGGGCCAAAGTGTTCTTCTTCAAAGCACTGCTGCTCACGGGGGACTTCTCCCCGGCCGGGAAGGGGGGCCGGCATGTGTGGGTCAGTAAGGACGAGCTGGGTGACTATTTGAAGCCCAAATACCTGGCCCAGGTCAGGAGGTTTCTGCTGGACCTCTGATGGACTGGGCTGCCCGTGGACGGTGCTCGCGCAGGTCTGCGGTGGGGCCTCACGGACGTTTTGTGGTTGCCCCATCTTTTCAGGGAATATCCAGAAGCAGACTTGATTCCTAGCAATAAACGAGTAGTTTGTCTGTGTGTGTGGGTCTTGCCTGCTCTGTCCTGTGAGGAGTGCTGACTGCCTCTCCCTGTGGGGGGGGCGGGGCCGGGCTCTGGGCGTCGTCCCCCTTCCTCTCCGGGCTGATCGCTGAACACTGCGCTAACTTCGTAGTGAGTCGGTGGGCTTCCTGGGCCCGGGAGAAAGAGCAGGAGGAAACGAGTCGAACTCGTGAAAGCCGTGCGTTCTGTGAAAGCGTCTGGGCCCATGGAGAAGGGAAAAAACAAATAAAAGCTAGTTGTGTGTGTAGTGTTTTAAGCCATTGTCTTCCCTTCCCTGTCTTTCTAGAACAAGCAAACAAACAAAACTCAAGACCAAATTACGTTCCGGAGGGTGGGCCCCTGTAGCCCAGGCTTCCCCCCCTGGGCCAGTGTTCTGGGAGCCCACTCGTCTTACTGCGCCGGCCGGCATTGCCAGAGGCTGCGCCTGGCTCCGGTGAGTGTCGACGAATTTCAACACGCTGTCCGCTTTACCAAGGGTGATTCACGAGCGCACCTGCCCGCGCCGAGCTGAGCGTCCAGCGGTTTTTGACCAAAAACGGCATGACCCTCGTGCCCCCGTCCCTTTTCACCCGATCTTGCCCCAAAACGGCTTTTATTTGTTTCCTCGGATAGAAAAATGCCCTTGAAGGGAAACATTTTGCTGACATGGAAGAGGTGAAACAAAAAGCACGAATTGGCATTGAAATCGGCGAGTTCAAAAACTTGAGCAGTGGAGAAAAAGTCTCCGTTGGTCTGTTGCATCAGGTGGATGCAGGTCTTTGAAGGAGACTGAAGTTTAAACATGTAACATCAGATACACCTTTTCTATAAACTCCGTGTGTCCCCCCCAATCAAGCCTAGGGAATAATTCCTTATCTTACTTTTATTCCTTTTTTAAAAAATATTTTTTAAAGACTTTATTCATTTTTAGAGAGGGAAGGGAGGGAGAAAGAGAGAGAGAAACATCAATGTGTGGTTGCTGGGGGTTATGGCCTGCAACCCAGGCATGTGCCCTGGCTGGGAATCGAACCTCCAACACTTTGGTTCACAGCCCGCGCTCAATCCACTGAGCTATGCCAGCCAGGGCTTCATTCCTTTTTTTTTTAAAAAGCATTTTATGTTTACACAGTTGTGTGTTGTGAAACAGTCACATGAGAGAAGCAGTGTCAGCTTGTTCTCTGCATTCCACAGTCGGGGCATCACGGCCTGTGTGGCTCGGCCGAGAGCCGCGCTGCACGGCCCAGATGCTGCGGGACGAGGGTGCTGAGCCCTCGCCTCGCCTCCGGGCTGGAGCTCCTGACCCCTGGCCGTGTGGTCCGGTTCACCGCTGGCCCCGGCACTGGCACGGGGAAGGCTCTAGGTGGACATCCCTTAAAGGGGGAAGGAGGGAGGGTCTCAGACACGTCTCTGCCCGGGATAGTGCTCCCAGTAGCACGGCTGTGGTCCTGGGTCCCGCCAGGTTTCCTGGTTTCCTCTCGGACACCCTTCCGGTTCAACACACGGGCATGTAGGATGTGAGCTGGTGAAACGGAATTTCCACGGTCTGTGTCAGGTGCAGCCTCTTGCTCTCGTACAGAGTCAAAACTGGGGAATTGCCTCCTGTGGTCCTAGTTGAGGGGCCTCACGCTGACCTTCCTCCTCCTTCCTGCACGTGCTCTTTGCCCTCCTTATGGAGGGGAGATGTTTCTGGCCTAGGCTCGGCGATCTGCTGGGCAGCAGGAGAAGGTAAGGGCGGCTGTTGGACCAGGCGTGCGTTCCTCTCTCTGGTTCGAGAGTGAATTGCGTGCGTGAACTGTACCGCAGGGACCTCTAACCTGTAAGGGAAGGTGTCACTGGGCTGCGGTGGTGACTGGTTTCATGACTGACACCTTGATTTCTAATAAATATATTTGGTCTTTGTCTCCCTTCACTTACACAGAGCATCTAAAACCTTGATGTTTCCTAAGTGCTGAGAACAATAAAGGTCTCATGTTAATAAGGTGACTTTGGAAAGCTCCTTGGTAGCCAGGGGAGCCAGCCATGGGATCAGAGGGCTGGAACTTTCAGACCCGGCCCCCTGACCTCCAGGGAGGGGAGAGGGGCTAGGCATTCAGTGCACTCACCAGTGGCCGGTGATGTAATCCACCATGCTCACAGCAGTGGAGCCTCTGAAAACCACACGGGACAAGGGATGGAGAGCTGCTGGGCGGCGAACACTCGGAGATTCGGGGGGAGGGGTGCGCTTGGGGCAGGAACCGATGCTGTGTTCCCTTTCCCCATACCTTGCCCTGGGCGCCCCCATCTGGCCGTTCTGAGTCACGTCCTTCTATAATAAACTGCTAATCTAGTAAAATGATCCATTTGAGTTCTGTGAGCTGCTCTAGCGAATCAGTCAAACCTAAGGGGGTGGGATCATGGGAATCTCCAGTTTATAGCCAGTGGGTCAGAAGCACAGGTAACAACCTGGGCATGTGATTGGCATCTGAGGTGGAGGGCTGTCTTGTCGGACTGACCCCTTAGCATACAGGGTCTGATGCCGTCTCCGGGTCGGCAGTGTCCGAATTCTGCTGAATTGTAGGACATCAGCTGGTGTCAGAGTTGCTCGGTGTGGGAGAAACACTCAAAACGTCGGAACGGGTACCGGAATCTTAATTCATTCATAAGATGGCCCGTTTTGTCAGAGTTGTTTCTTTAAAGGGAAATAGCATGTATACACCTGGTCGGTAGAGAAATGGTATCGGGATAGCCTGAAATTAGGTTAGTTCCTATGAGGTTTTCCCCGGAACATTCCTATTTTGAAATGATCAGGGACAGGACTGAATGCCCCGAGAAAGCCGGAAATTTTATAGACATGCCTCCCTTTATTGCCGGTAGCGGCAGGTTTAGGGGCTTCGAGACTCACCCCCAGCTTTCCCACTATTAGGCTGTCTGGGAACCCGAGTGGCCAGGAGGGCACTGCAAAGATACGCTCGCATCTCCACCTTCTGTCTTAACAAAACCGACGAAGAAGGCTCGTCCTGGATCACATGTTAGGTTTGGACAGAGCAGTCTCTGCCAGGACCCGCAGCTATCTCAGAACACCCACATCTCGGGGAGAAAGACGGAGTGCCGCCGTTGGCGGCTGCAGGGGACCAGTGCCCATGCCAACGGGGGCCCAGCTGCTTTAGCGTCCTCAGTGGGCTTGATTCTGTTTTGTTGGTGCTCTGGCTACAGAATCCTGTAGGTTTTAGGTGGCCTGCCCCAAGCTCCTTTTCCCCAGCAGCCATATTCTTTGGGGAGTGCGATTCTGCAGAACTTTCAGAGATAAGTTTTTTTACACCATGATAGCAAGAATGACCGTGTATGCAGAGGGCCAGCCAGCCAGCCTCCACTGGCTGCCAAACAGGACCGGAAAATCGTTTCTCATGCGTGCTCTGTGCCAGCAAACAAAAGACGGAGGTGGTGTTCCCAGGGTCTTAGGGGACGGGAGCTTTCAAAGAGAACGGTGGGAGGACAGGGGAGTGATGTGGGTGATGTGGGGCTGGGAGTGCGGTTGGAGGGGTGTTCGTGCACCCTGAGGAATGCTGGTGTGTGTGTGTGTGTGTGTGTGTGTGTGTGTGTGAGTCACACGTAGGACAGACCTCCCCCCCGCCCCAGCACACTGGAAGGCTCCTCCAGACGTTTAGCGCCCCCACCTGGTCATTGCCTTCCCGAGTGATGTTCAGTCACCTCCATTTTTCACGTTTGCTGTGTTCCTGGCAACGTATCCTCCAGAGTTTCCTTGTGCCGGGCCGTTTCTGTACCTGGCGTGCAGGTCCACGCCTCTCCTCAGCACTGGTGGGACAGTGAGCTGTTTGTCAGTCCAGCGCCTACACCTGCTGACCTTCCAAATCCTCGGGCAGAGCCTTGAAAAAAAAAAAAACAGGTGAATCAGCTTCTTTCCCCATGGAACTTGAACCTGGGCGGCAGAAAACCTGGCTTTGAACTTGTTTGATGACTTGTAGCAAGTTAACAGCTACCGTCACTGTGAGGGACAGTGGCGTGACCCAGAGTGCCCAGGGGCCCACGCCCACAGCCCACATTCCCATTCAAGCCAGCAGGGCGGCGGCGGTGTCCCTGCTCGAGCGATGAGAATGTGGACTCAAGAGGTTAGCTACCTTGCTTACAGCAACTTGCTAGTAAGCAGCGGGGCCGGAATTTGAACTCCGATCCGTGTACAAAGCTAGTTCTCAGCCGTTCTTAGCTTCCCGTTTCCTGTCTGTAAGATACAGACGATACTCTTTTTCAGAAAACGTGATAATTTATGTCAAAGTACTTAGCACCGTGCATGGCTTGTTGTAAACACTCAGTAAATGTTTCCTCCTTCCAGCCTCTCCAGATTCCTAAATTCTCCTGCATTCAGCTGTATCATCTTTAGCTTCTACATCTCCTACTCTTCCCTTTTCCAGGTTTTGTATTTTGCGGCCACTAATAGGGTCTGAGGTATTTGATAAGGGACACGGGTAATGTGGACCTTAGTGGATTCATTCCATCAGCCTGATCCCCAAATGGGTGGGTGGTCAGCCCCATAATCAATTGGTTGGGCATGTTCGTCCATTCCTACCCTGGGCCAGGACATCCAGAGCCACTGCTGGGCACAGGCCTACGGGGCACTAAAGCCAGAATAGACCTGCTGACCCATTCTGTTAGCCCAGCAGGGGGAAGAGAACACAGCTGAGAGGTTGGCAACCGGTTATTAAGCGCTCAGCCTCAAGCACACACAGCAAGATGCAGCCTGTTTGCCCGAATTCTTAGGGCGGCCGCAGCCCCCGCCCTTCTCTGTTCTGTTTCCTGGACGCCTGGATCACAGCCAGTCACTCCAGGCTCCCGGTCCCCTGCCACTGGCCTTGGATTGTTGGTGCTGAAGACCCCAGGACGGGGAGGAGGAAAGGGCTCTGCTCTCTGCATCCGGGAGAGGGACCCGGAGTAGGTGCTGCTGTGCGGGCCCAGGGATAGGACCAGACAGCACACCACTGCAGCAGCCGGGGGGCCGGCGCTGGGAG